CTCCACTAGGCAGGGGAGGGGCTCCACCAGGAAGGGGAGGGACTTTAAGGAAGGGGGAGGGGCTCCACCAGGAAGGGGAGGGACTTTAAGGAAGGGGGGGGGGCTCCACCAAGAATGGGGCCGGACACTGTAAGGAAGGTTCAGGGGTCCAACAAGAGGAGGGTTAAGGAAGGGGCAGGGTTCCAGCAGGAAGGGGTGGGGCTCTGTAAGGACTCACTTTCAGGTCTGCCCTCTGCCGTACAACTTCCTTGAGAACGCCCATGAGGATGTCTGTGGCCAGTGTGCGCTCATGGGCCTCGTCCAGGATGATGACCCCGTAGCGCTCCAAGAGAGGATCGTTCATTGCTTCCCGAAGCAACATACCGTCAGTCATGTACCTATCAGGTGGATAAACAGGACATATACACAACAGCTAGTTTCACATAACATTAAGATGATGTAGATTAGAGCAAAAAAAAATTTAAAATTACAAGGCTGGTTAATTTTAAAATACAATAGTATCATAGTAATCATTTCTTCATTACAAGACCAATTCAATAAATATCTGAGTATTATCATGGAGAACCCAGCATGTCATACTGCTGAAATAGTAACACAGATGTTTCCTCTACTTTTTAAGAATGAAGCACGAGGCATAATTATATTATACGCAATTTTCATCATCTGAATTGGAATATTTCCGGCCAAGAAGCAGGTAGGGAGCAAAGGAGAGGCTCCATACTTCAGTAAGGTCTTGGCGTTGCTGCAGTCCTCGAATCGGATGGAGTAGCCCACCTCCTGGCCCAGCATGACGTCCATCTCGTCGGCCACGCGCTGGGCCACGCTCATGGCGGCCACCCGGCGGGGCTGCGTGCAGGCCACGCCCCGCTTCGGCCCGGGCAGTGCCCGCACCATATCCACACACCACTGGGGAATCTGTGAGGGCACAAAGGCATTGCTTACACTAACCCAACAATGGACCAGAACCTGTTTCCAGCTGCCTGAACGACTGCGTGCATCAGAAATGATCCACATTTTCTCTTGTCTCCCTCTCCCCTGAGAGGCAGGGGGGAAACACCACAGCCATCCTATAGTTTCCATCTCAAAGCAAAGAGAGGAACAGAAAAAGGAGTCCAGAAGAGGTAGACTGTCTCCAGCTCCCTGCGGATGCAAAGTTTATTCCTGTGAAATGCTCTAAAGTAAAAAGAAAAAACAAAAGGCCCTGAAGCAAAACAGATACAAAGTGGAGGGGGGCTGGATGGGTGGAGGGGTGTTGGAGATTAAGAACCGCAGTCGGCATGCAGGCAAGCGGCTGGGCTGAAAAATTAAACGTGCCAAAATGGAACTAGATTTAGGAAGCGGTTCCTTCCACCGTAGTAGCCTTTAACATGGACTGGCTGCTGGTGCCATCCCAGCTTCTGCACTGCATGGGAAAACACTCCTCGCGTTTAACACCCATAGCATGGAGGGGGGAAACATGGGGAAACCGAACACAGCGAACCCACCCGAAGGAGCTGCGATGAAAATTGAATCGTTGGTTGAAGGAGCCCCTTCCCCAAACGGGCCGTGTCACGTGGCATCGTACCTGCCACAGACGCACGGGAAGCCCGACCTGAAGGTCAGAGCGAGATGGGGGCAGCCAGCCAGCACCGCCCGATAACGCCAGCCCAACCTGAAGAGGTTTACGGCATCCACTGCCATCCAGGGCAGAGGCTGGGCTTGCAAAGCAGAGGCTGCCCAGGTAATGAGGTGCCAACATCTAGAGGAGAATTAAGGCAGAGGGGAGGCGGGCACCGTCCTGCTTCTCTTCACAGCGCCGTCTCGCATAGGTCCCTAAAGCACTGCATTATTTATCCGCTGATCTAGGACAACCTGTGAAACGGCCGGCTGTTTACCGAAGCAGTTCCATGAAAAGGTAGTGCCCCCCCCCCCCCCAGCAAGGGACGTGGACGTGCAACATATCTGGTTAGGAGTCCACTGCCCTCACGTGTCTCCTGCACCCAGGGGCGGCAGGTGCAATTCCTGCACCAGATTCCACAGCTGGCTGCGGCCTTTGAGGCTGCCAGCATGCCCCCCCAAGAACAGCGGGGGAGCTGAAATGCAGCGGAGGTCAGCGGAGAAGCAACAGCCTTCTGCGCAGGTCTTTGAACTGTGAAAGGAGACCAGAGTAGCTGCAGGACACCCACACAAAATCACGAGAAGATCTCCACTGACAGAGGGCTAAAACCGTTACTCGATGCATCACCTCCACGCTGAAGCTGGTCTGACCACTTAGTTTGACCACTGGATAGCAGCCTCACCTGGGTAGTCTTCCCAGAGCCAGTCTCTCCCACCAGCACAAAGCATTGGTGGCAAGCTAGGATTTCAGTAAATCGCTCCCTGTACTCCCATACTGGCAGCTGTAGCCTCTTCTTCAGGATCTCGTAGTAGCGAGGAGTATGTGGCAGGTTGGTGAACGGGTTGATCTGCTGGTGAACGGGCAAAGACCTTGCTGGCAAGACCCCTGATCCCGCCATCGCCGGTGTGACTGGAGGGTTGCCAGGTACCCTGCTGTCTTTCTCTCGGTCCCGGTCTCGGTCCCGATCCCTATCTCTGTCCCTGTCCTTCGGCCGGTCGTCCCGGTCTCTGTCACGGTCGCGGTCTTTGCTGTGGACAGGAATTGAACAGCATCAGAAAAAGCATGGAAGAGTTGTTCTGCAAATGTTCAAGTCTCTAGGAAGAAGGCCCTTTGAGGAATGTGCTGTCCAGTTTCAATCACCCCATATAAACTACACCTCCCAGTATCCCACTAAAGATGTATTAACAAGGTATCAGGAGGAAAAAAAAACACCAATTTTAATTAAAACCTGAAAACTATCAATGAGTTACTGTTCCAAAACAATGCACCTCTTGTCCAATTTAGAATAAATTGATCGCTTTTCAGAGAGAAGTGACAGAACCTTCCATGCAATCCGTTTTTGTAGAATGGAAATCCACTACCAATTTACATAACAGAATGATGCTCTAGTCTTCCTAGTACTAAATAACTAATGTTGGAGCTTGGTGCTGGAAAAAAAAGAGGAATTTAAAAAGAACAAAGGAATAGGTTTATCAAGGTAAACATCAAAATTTTGCAATAAACAGGTGCTTTTTAAACAATTATTTTGGTTAATTTAAATCAAAGAACAACATCAAACCAAGCATTTCTGATCCCTGACATGTTTATATATCTACATCCCCTATTCACAAAAATAAATCAGACAGTCCTTGAACACCTGACATGACTATATGACAGAATAAGACAGACAAAACTTTTGCAACAAGCCCTGTTCACTCTGATAGCTGTAGGAAGTAATGAGCTCTGACATCTCAAACTCTCGGGACATCTAGATTTTACTAAAAACAGAAGAAAAATGTCAGCCTTTATATATTATGTGTTGGTACGCATGCACACATACACACGTGTGTGTGTGCGCGTGTATAAATAAAAACACAATGAACACACGTGACTGCCAAGCATGAAGCTGATTACACATCCAACCTCTTTTTTTGACAGTTTCATGATTTTTCCCTAAGCTGCTAAGTTTAACAGAGAGAAATGGTCTGGTCTCCAAACCCATGATTTTTGCAAGGGCAACTCATTTTTTGAATGTTTCAAACATCACAAACAAAGTTATCATGCTATAATCATCATCCAGCAGATATTTTCACATATTTAATAAGTCATTACCAGTTGCTGTACATTTGGTTCTTTAGGTCAAGCGATTACGAATGAATGTGTATAATGAAGTTGTTGGAAGTTGAGATTAATGTTAATTACAGACTGAAAAGTCATGTGAGGCTTTCTTTAATCCCAATTTAGCAGCAGACCAAAAACTTGTTTCCTTTTTAATTTTCCAGAAACACATCTCTGTGTCAACAACACTGGGTCAGTGTTACTTAGCTGCAAGCTAAGTTTTCACTGCAACTCTCCTACAACTTAAATATGGTCACACAAAAATCTATAAGCTCAAAGAAAATAGAAAATAAAAAGAAAATAAAGCTGAATTTTGTAAGACAAACCCTTCAGTTAGAGTGATTAACTCTGACTTTATGCAATTGTCTAAATTACTTTATTTGGGTGACAAATGGCTACATAAGACTCTACACTACAAGTGAAATGTCTTTTCTTAGGGATACTTAAAATTCATCCTGACTCCTCAGCATGGATCAGGTACTGATGCTGAGACTGCAACTATGGAGGGTACAACTTCCAGAGCTAGACACTTTCACATTCATTACCATTAAAATAAAATTCTCCATCAGGTGCTGCAAGGTTAAAACCTGCAATTTGTTCTTGAAAGCTTAAGTAACCTTACTAGTTCTCTTTTACAAATGAAAAAGGGAAATATGAAGAAGTGAGAGAGATGGAGAGAAAGATACAGCAGAAACACGAAATACCAACCAATGACGTCTAGTACACACCGGGAACCTTGTCTGAAGACCAAGGATCATTCTGTCTTTTTTATGATTACCGTTAGCACATGGTTTAAACGCCAAATTTAATACCACTTTAACAACATAGATCCAAATTTTGCTATGGCTGGTCAGAAAAGTGACCTGAAGAGTTAAAAATGTATGCACCATTTATGCAACAAGTAAATGGTGTATTAGGCTGTTACACCCGCACATAATAATCACTCAAACATCGGGGGAGCACAACAAAAAAGATTTATTTTTAATCGTCACTGCTTCAAGGTACGGTGTCATTTAAGTACAACCACAAGCTCACTGTTCTTGGTCTGAAAAGAACTTGACAACGATACAGCCTAACAAATATATACAACTAAAAATCCCGCTGCATTAGCAGTGTTTTGAATGAATGAAACACGGGATACGCCTAGCATACTTACAATCCAACGACTGTTTCTCTCTGGCGATGTCACAGTAAATCGGATCGCCGTGGTACAGACGAAACAAAAATAATTACCAAGCATACACGTTAACGGGCGACCGGAAAGCCAGACGGCCTAGATAACTTTTTAATTACACAGAGCAGCGGTACTTTTGCCGAAGCTAACGGCGCTAAAGTCATCAGGCAAAACGAGCCGGTGCGGCCGAGGTAGGCCGAGCGAGCCGCTCCATCCACGTGCATAAAGGAGCCAACGCGCGCCAGCCCCACGCGAGAATCAAAACAACAGCACATTTCCATGGCAACTATTCAAAGGACAAAGCGGCGCTTTCACCGGACAGCGCGGCCGGTCGGCGGGGTTTCGAGCGCGCTGCCGGCCGGCGTGGCTCTGCCGGCTACACACCGCTAGCTCGCTAGCCCTTCGGTCTCAGTGACGGCACGATCACTATGGTCACCCGACTGCGCCTCCAAACAATGAAAACACTGGCCAACTTACCCCTCGGAGGACATCCTTTTTTTGCTAGATGAGTAATCATCACCTAAATCCAGCCGATGTCTTTTGGACATCGTGTTTAATGACACGAATATATAAAATAAGAGACCGAAGAGGGCAGTGAGTTATTCCTAACAAACCCCCTTCTTCACTCATTCAGGATAAGCAACAAGATGGCGACCGGAAGCACTTACCGTATCATTATTATTATTATTTCAGAGAAAACGGTAGGAAAAAAACATGTACCGTTTGGATATGGAATACAGGCAAATTTGTATAGCCCAGTGTGTAAAATAATATCGCTAAAAAGGGTATCGGTTTTGGGGGGGGCGCGTAGTATTATGAGTGAATGCCAGGAGAAACCGTGAGAAACTACAAGACAGCAGGCAAAAATTAGTGTCCGCAGGTCGCATTCAGCGCCAGAGAGGCTGACCGCCCCCTTGGAATCCTCCATGTGATACATGCCTACGTTTGTACACAGTGACATATTTATAAATGCACAAATAAGTCCATGTAGCCACAAAACAAAAAAATATATTTTTAATGTAATTTTTAAACTTAAACATCAAGCAAAATGTGAAGTTTTTTTTTAGCAGCTAGCCACATGTATAATAAAATAACATTATAAGAACTAGGCTGAGGAATGTTTAATAACAGCAAGCGCTGAGATATACAACACAATGCAAAATAAAAATAAACAGGTCGATAAAGTTACTGAGAAATATACATGCATTAGCTAGGATATTATGACCTGCACCCATATTGGTTTTTAAAAAGTGGGTAGTGGTCTTTGTGCAAAAATATTACGTGATATATTCAGATTAATAACAATACTCATTTAAATAATAATAATAGTTAGTCCATCAGGTATATGCACATACATTTATAGTCACTTAAATGCTTCTTTGGATATTATAACCTATTGGATTGTACAGTGAGGCATGGGCTGGTACCCAAGATAATCATTGTCATCGACACAGGTAATTACACAATGCGGGCATCACTAACAAGCTTTGTAATGACAGATGGTTTATTGCATGTACCTATGGATTGATGGAGATGGAAAGATGAAGATAACATTACAACAAAGCCTTACTAATGTTCTGTATCCTGGGCTAATTTAAAATACCTTTTACCCCCTTTTCCTTTCACAGACAATTAAATTACAATTGTGTGTGAAGTAGCTCATCCTTGCAGATCTGCTGTCAAACAAAAAAACCCTCAGACAAATATCAGACCATTGAGAGGAATTGGGGTCCAGTCCCCTGAGTAGAAAATCTTTACAGAACAAATATTAAAAATATATTACCCTTTAGAACAGTGTTTCTCAACACGGTCCTCAGGAACCCACAGAAGGTCCATGTTTTTGTTCCCTCCCAACTTTCTACTGGGACTGTCATCCTGGCACCCAAGGACTAGATTGGGAAACACTGCTTTAGAAACAAAGTACATATTCATTTTTATATATCCATCCATCACTGTAACCACTTAATCCCAACTGGGGACACTGGAATTTAGACTCACCAATCAACCTGCCCTGCATGCTTTTGGATCATGGGAGGAAACCAGAGCCCACGTGAAACATGGGGAGAGTGTGTGAACTCCACACGGAAAGGACCCAGGATCGAACCCAGGACCTTCTTGCTGTGAGGTAGTAGTGCTAACCACTGCACCACTGCACCACCCCCATTTTTATATATAATCAACATATTACAAACTACTTTCTGCAACCGATACTGGATAAGCAGTGCAATGGAGAAAGAAATGGATAGATGTTATATTATACATATATGAATGTGTGCAATACTTAAATTACATAAATACTGATTGCTTAACAATCTCAGCAGTAGTCCAGCCTGTTGTTTTTTAAACTTCCTCTGTTAAAAGAAATGTTAAAAACTCAAGAGATGCTAGTTAAACCAGTATAATTCTGCACTTTCCTTTCATTGCATCATTGTAAGTAAATTATTAAAATCAGATTTTTGGATATGTCAGAAACAGGTGAATACTCAACACATCTTAGTCGTTCATTCATTTGTGTCTCTATATTCCACTGGATATTTCATAGTAGCTGTTCACCTTCAGTAATTTGCTTAACAATGTTACAATGAGGTTCCCTCTTGTAATTTTTGATGCCAGCCTTCAAGTTATAAACCCATAATATTAACCACTACTACTTACCCACCACCAGACAGACTCCCAGTTTTTTTTAATTTGAGCTGAGGTTTTGTAAGGATAATTTTAAAATGGCATTCCACTATCGAAGAACCTAAATAAAGGATAAACCATGATGAGGTGTATGGTTACACAAAAATAATCAACAACATGTTAACATTTGATAGTGTTCCAATGTGCTCTTAAAAATATAGTCCCCATAAGGACAGAGTATCTGGTCAGGCTACTCACTGGAAGCGGCAAGTCCGTTAAGTTACCATAGAAACCATCAACAGACAGGAGCTTGCATTCTGAAAACCAAGCAGAATTATGCTGATAAGAATGCCTGCTTATTTATGAGTAAAAACTCACACAAGTTTTTATGTTAACATGTTTAATAAAACATTAAAATGTATTAACACGAGACTGTTAGGCTGCCGGAACTACCTGTGCGGTTACATGAAAATAATCAACATCCATGTGACACCTCCGGACCAATAAGAAAATAATATTTACCACAGCTGTGGTATAAGGAAAAATAACCCAGCCACCCATCCATCCACCCATCCATCCATCCATAACCGCTTGCCCTATGCAGGGTCACAGGTCCACAGCCTATCCAGGAAGCTATAGGGACAAGGTAGGGAATAACCCAGGATCGGGCACCAACCCATTATCGAGAAAAAAAAAAAAATAGCCACGACATAAAAAAACAATTCATTGCATTACAATAGGGAGTTACAATGCAGGAAGTCATTTAACATCCCTTAAGAAGATTTACAATATCTTTTGGAAGTAAAAGTACCCTCTTTAACCAAAAGCATAGTATTAACATTTAATAAGACCATTCAATACAACATAAATCAGCATACACAATAGAAGGGGAAAAATGGAATGGGCATTAAGATCCACAATGTATTTGGTAATTCGGCTGTATTTGGAATTGCGAAAGGTCATGGCTGATGAATACCGGAGAAGGGGACAGTGACAATGTCTAAACTTTAAATTAGGGTCCCGCTTGTATGACCGTATAGTGTTTTTCTGTGGCGGCTCTCTCACTTTCTTTATCGCTGTGGTCACCGCTCTGATACAGTTCTATTCACATCATTGGGCCCAGCTGGCGACAAGTGAATTTAGCTGGTCAGAACAGGAATGCACAGGTTTAGTCTTAACCGGCGCCTGTAGGGCCAGAATCCTGGCCGCAGTGAGATCATTAGGCATGCAAGCGCCAGGTTGCCGGGGCGTTCCAGGTCCACAGAATGGTTATAGAAGGGATTTTCATCTTATGTAATAAACTTACTCTGAGAATAAAGCACCGCAATGCACAAAGAGGCAACTCAAGTCTGCTCGTATGTGCAATGTGTTGCTTTTTCGATATTCCCCCCACCCTCCCCCCCGCAGTAACAGCCGAAATGGTCCTCCAAGCATCCCCCCCCCGGCCTTCTCACCAAGCCCCACGGCGTCATCTCCTGCGCCCGCTGCTTTTCCTCCCCGGCTGCTGACAGGCCTCTGTAGAACGTCTTGTAAAAGTGCAGCTTCTGGAGCCCCCCCCCCCCCCCCCCCCCACCCCCCCCCATTAAAAAAAAAAAAAAAAAAAAAAAAAAAAGAGTGGCAGCTCGTCAGCATTCAGCAGCCGCCCTCCCCTCCCTCCGGTGACACCAGCCATGTAAAACCACCCTCATTAACTTGCCTCTGTGTATCCCGCTCTCATGTCCCCATCTGAAAGCAGTCAGCGTCAAGTGAACACCAATCCCCAAGCAGAGAGTCTGCTCGGATGCAGCGAGACATTCCCGGTGCTGCCGTTCGCTTGGCCGCTACATATTAACCTCAGTGGAAAATAAACCCACAGCTTGAAATAGACCTCCTGTCCTATGCTGGGTTTAAGGGAAGACTTTGCACTTAAAACAGCTGAAAAACAGGGTTAAAATCGTAACGATAAATAACCTCAATGTGTGCCGATCTCCTGGGAAACCTGGAGACAAAAACAGATGTGTATGGTCGTCTCATTCAAAGTTAACATCTACCCCTAAGCAGAAATCGCGAGACCTAGAATCCGTCTCTGTTGAAATGCCTGTTTACTGCACAGACATTGTATTTCCTGGTCACCGTGACTACCACCCATACGGAATAAATTTGTATTACTGGTAGGATTTAAGCTTTGCGATAAATGGCATTAGACAGCCTAAATAGTTTTTTTTTTCTAAAATATGAGCACCGACTCAATAGGAAAAAAATCATTAATTTTAATTAATCTGGAGCCCCGAGACTAGGGTGTGGTATACATAGCATATGCAAGTGATGCTAATTAAAGCATTTTAGGAGAGTAAAAAAGAAGTCATCCATCGTATGGAGAAAAATTAATGTTCCATGGCACATATTCCCACTCGTGCCAGTCACAAGAAGTTATAATTTCCAAATTACAGCAGGACATTAAAACCCCCGGTGCCTCGGGACCCTTGTTCTGTAACATTTCCCAAAATATGACGGATTGCATCGGCCTGGTGTAAATAAAGAATTGGACATGGTACAGTTCTGGCCAGGACTCACAGGGTGGCAGTGGTCGCGGGCGAGGGGGGGACCTCAAACAGTTGCTTACGCTATTAACCTTCTAGAAGGATGGGAAGATCTGCGGCTCCCCTTCCCCTGGCAAAGGCAGCAAAAACAAATAAAACTGGACGAAGGCAGCCAAACCGCTTGCCGGCACCGACCTCCACGCACAGGTGCACAGGGAGGTTGCTACACACCCGCTTCCTCTAGGTTCTCCCTCAGGTTTTTACTAATAAATAAATAAATCCCCAGCCGCACCCCCTAATTACACCCCCTCCCCCCTGGGGCTGTCATCCGCTCTGCGCACCCTTTGCCCGGGACGCCCTGAACCCCTCAGAAGTAATCCCACCCTGCCGGTCTCTTGGTCAGGGGTCCGCGAGTGCGAGAGACAGCTCTTCAGATTGGTTTTGGCAAGGGCTGCCCAAACGGTGACCCCCCCCCGGTGGTATCATTTTTCCCCGTCAAGTGGAAGTTCTGAAAGCACCACATACCCCCCCCCCCCCCGCCCCCGATGCTCACCGAACATCATCCCTGAGCTTTAGAAGGAAACTTAGGCCCATAAACCTCCTGGTAATGTAAAAGAAAAGGAAACAAGATGCAACAATTCATTCAACTGAATAACACACCAACACACACACACACACCAAGCAAGTGGTGAATCACTAAAAAAAAAAGCCTACCTTCCTGACAAGTATGTACGGCAGAAAGCGAGACCGACCCGCGGCGTGAGGCGGCTTGGCGCAGCGGTCTGAGGAAGCGATGGTGACGCGGAGCCCACTCCCGGCTGCCTCATCTCCCAGCTGGCGGACAGGCTCGCTCTCCTCTCCCCGCGGGAGCCCCCCCCCCCCCAGTCCCTGAGTGTTGCTCCATTTCATAGGGGCCCTAACAGCCCCCCAGTCTCTCTTCCGAATGAGGGGCTGCAGGGAGAGGACTACGCCAGACTCTCACGGCAGAAGCTGTCGCTCCGCTTCACTGTACTGCCGGAAGCAGAGTCCTGGCTGTGGGAGGGGGAGGTGGGGGCCAGAGCCTGCGGTGAGGATTTGGGTTCAGGCCTTTCAGCTATACCTGCGACCCCAGGAAGCTCTTCTCCTGGGGCGTGGTCTTCCACAGAGGGCAGCAAGCGCAGGCCTGTCACTGGTGACGCCGCGGGAGATCCGGGGCTCGACAGAGGCCTCGCCGAGGCTTCGGCCTGCTCCTCCTCCCTCCTCATCCTGACGGGCCCCGGCTCGGATGTGCCATGCGCCTCCTCCAGCCTCACGATTTCCACTGCTGGGCGTTCCACGTTCTCCTCGGCAACCATCCCATCACCGTCTCTGCAGCCACTGCTCATCGACAGGTCCGGAAAAACAGGTGCGCCCACATCGCCACCACCATCTGGACCGGCCCGGGAGCCCGGCCATGCTTTTGGGTGGCTGTTGTCGGCAGCTGTGGTATGTTCCCATGGCGACGCTCCTCCACTTTCCATCCTGTCATCTGATCCGATTGGAGACAAACAAGATTAATGGTCATGGTGCAGGTTCAATGATAACAGCAACGCATCCCAAACTGCTGATTCTCGAGCGAATGAATGAATGAGCGAACGAATGAACGAGCATACGAAAAAGCAAAACGGGCAAACAAGAGAACGAACAAGCAAACAAATGAACAACCATATGAATGAGCATATGAACAAGCAAACACACAAGCAAGCAAACGAGCGAGCAAACAAGTGAATAACCCAATTAAAAATAAATTAAAAAGTGAGCGAGGTTACGCTAATGACCTGAGGCCCTACAACACAGTCATCACCTGTGTTACAGCTGTGCCAACATGACATAGAATGAGTATCAATTTAAACCCAACAAGAGTATTTTTCATTCGTTTTTACCTTTGTGGTCCTTGTAAAGAAAAAATAAACGAAAGCAGTCAGTTGCAAAACGGCACTTTATTTTTCAGTACTGGGCTAAATTGGTAGAATAAGTTCTGCAGGATGCTAATGTATTTTAGTGCTTTTTTCTTTGGCAGGAACCTAAAATACCTGCACTAGCACGCCTCATCAAGGGGAGAACGAGCATGACACACCCGCCTGTTGATGGAAACAGCTTAGTTCTGCCACCTCTCCAAAAATCTGCTCTAATTTCAGGGATTACTGACCCATATTTGTGAACATTCAGCCAAAAGGTTAAAGACTGAGCACAGCGTGAAAATATGCACCCCACCTCGGGGGGGGGGGGGGGGGAAAGAAGGCCCAAATTCTGCACGGCAGAGGCCATATTTATAGGCCTTCGTCGAAAGCGTGCCCCAGGTTCTGAATGTCAACGGGCAGAATTCGCCAGCATTTTCAAAATGCCATGGCATTTGGGAGGAACGGATACTTATCCGTCAGCACCAATGAGAGCTCCGCGGCGGAGAAGCGGGGCCGAGGGGGGGGGGCGCACATGCCGCTAATTACGGGCGCTTTGGCAACGCGCCGGGGGGCACCGTTAATGAACGCCGTGGATGGTCACACACAGTCACGCACACTCACCTTCAGGCGGCTGCTCTCCCGGTGTCGCCGGCGGTGACGCTTCGGCCGGCCGGGGGGGCTGGGGGTGTTGGGGGGGCCGGAGACTTGCGATCTCACTCAAGCTAATGGTGTCCCTTCCTCCTGTGCCCCGGGACAGGCGAAAATATAATGGGAGCTTGACAGTGTCTCCCTCAGGCGAAACGGGGTATCAACACAAGACGAGCAACATCTCAACGCAAACACACGTACATGCACACGGACACACACTGCACACACATCTCAACGAGGGGGAGCAAAGAGTGCTATCTTAACGCACCGCACAGTGTGTCATCTTACATTTCCACACTGGAGCACACAACAGTTTTACCAACAGCCAGGGAACAGACCCCCCAGACCGTGCAAACCAATCACCTTCCGGTGCGGCTCATCAGAAGCCAGGAAGGATAGGAAACCTACTGGATAGTAGTTCTCCAGGACCGGAGTTGGAGACTCCTGATTTAAATGCACATCTCCCTGATCATCATTTAGCTTGTGGTGATTGGCTTTTCTGGTCCGACGACGGCAATTGAGCGTGAAATCTTATGCTAAGGGGTCAAAGGTCAGAGTTCACAGGGTTGCACAGCTCTGTAGCATAGGAAGGATCTCAGTCTCCAGGTAGAAGGGGTTAAGAGAAGGGCCCCGGAGTTGCTCGAAAGGAGGGAGGAAGGGAAACAGTGCTGTCTGCAGATCGCCTGCAGCCAATTAAAAGTTGCAGTAATTACGTATGCCATGCAGACCTGAGTTTCAAAACATCAGCTACAGTCCGTGCTGTGCTCGTCTGAGGGGGGATAGAGGGGGTATGAGGGTAAGCAGGCGGGTGCTGACTCACCGCACACAACAGCACACCGTGGGAAAGATTACCCTGACAGCGCTGGTGCATACCATCACCGCCGTAGGCTTCACCCCCCCCCCGCTCCAACCGGGGCAAGCAGGCAAGAGGGAAAACCAAGCAAAGAGGTCTAATCCCATCGAAGTACCACAAGTTTGAAGTGGATGCTTTACTGGAGCAATTCAGGTGCATTGGTGAAGACCTCTGGGACTCAAACCAACAACCTTCTGATTATGCGTCATGTTTCTACATCACTGCCTTGCTAGGCTGTGTGCAGTCACTGTGGTGAAGGGAAGCAACACTTGCACAGTCCCCTCCCGTTTCGGTGCAACAAACACTTTAGGAGGGGGTTTAACTGTCAATAATCGGGCCCCCTACTTGCCACACAGTGGCTGGTAACAATGCATCTTTTCTAATGTTTCCACCTCGATTGCCCCCGCCCCCCCAACTTGCCCATCAGCACCCACCTCTCTCCATTTCAGCATGGCCGCTCTCCTGTACTTTGACGAAACCGACTCACGATTCCATCTCGTCTACAAATTCCCTAATAACAGCACATTCCCTAAATGTGTTTGTAATGTGGGCAATCATTTTCCGTAATGGATGCTTGTCAGTTTTATGGTAGGAGAATGACAGTCTTATGACAGGCAAGCCTCACAAAGCAGGGCTGTCCGACTGCAGGCAGGAAGAGTCACAGCTCCCTCTGCTGGATATGCTAAGGACTGCACATTTTACACTCGAGTGAAACCAGCAACACAGCTGTAAAATTCCTCTTTTTTCCCCACTGACAAAAAGTCAAATAAAGGGTTTCTTTATTTTGTCCATGGGTCTTATGGATGACAGGAGACAGCTTGTTACAGATTTAGTCAGAATAATTCTGTTTGCCATCTGATTCTCAGATCTACACCCATATGCACGTTCAGAAACTCTAAAACCAGATATTATTACCATCTTCCTGGGAATACTGAGGAATAACATGTAGGGACAATTATTAATTCAGGCCTGTGGGGACGGTAAAGAGGACACTGGATGAGGCTTCAGAACCGCACACAAATGAAATGCTGTTATAAAGATAAACCTTTTAATAAACCCACATATCTCTAAATATATCACCTCCCAATTTATGCCTAAAATGGTCATATCAAGCCTTGTGGAGGAGCTGTCCTTTTTTGAGCTCTCAGCCACCTTTATGATTGGCTGCGGGATGTGCTCCGCTCTGCCTTCTCTGTTCCTTAAAAAAAAAAAAAAAAAAAAGTATAAAAATATTCTTACAGCAGCCCTTCTGAGATATTTTGGGAACGTTTTGGGAACGTTCCCAGAGAGCTTAAGCATTTACATTTCTCTGTGACAATCTGTTCCGACTTAATCCTGCGGAATACAGCGGCTCATTTCGCAAATTACTCGGTGTCTACCGTAAACACGTCAAAACACCGAGAGTCAAATCTGAAGCGAGGAGGGTAGACGTGAGAGCCGGAGATGGAGAACGGCTGGAAAGGGGACCGACGGTGCCCTGCGACCGACTCTCAGGATGTGGCCTCTGCTCTTAGAGAGCAAGGAGTAACTAGAGAGGCTGAAGGAGGCCGTGGAACGTGGATGCTGGACTTGACGGAGGCAGGCCACAGTCGGGGGATGGCTTAGGGCAGGGGTGGCCAATCTTATCCACAAAGGGCCGGTGTGTATGCAGGTTTTTGGGATAACCTGTAGGTCAGCTGTTCAAACCCAGGTGTGAGGACTCTTCAGCCAATCAGTCCTCTAATTAGTAATATAATTAGGCCCTTTGCGGATAAGATTGGCCACCCCTGGCTTAGGGTCTCAGGAAGCTGAAGGACTAGGAACTAGGTTGAGAGGATCGCACACCTTTCTCTTGGCACAACTCTCAGTACACCCCCCACTCCAGGATCACAGGGAAGAAGATGACTTTGATACAGCAAGTCCTTTTGTCACCGTTTTGCGTATTTTGCGGGGGGGCGGTGAGACTACCAAGGCAGAGTAAACAGTAACTGGGTAGTGTTGCATTTGCCAGCGGGGGCAATTCGGGGGGGGAGGGGTGGGGGTGCTTGAGAGCTCACTACACTGCTGACTTTAGCGCAACCGGCTTGGCAACTTAAGGTTAATTAGCGCACCGCCAGTGTCAGGAGCTGATAATTAGGAGGCCTCGGCACGGGCGGTCCAGCGGCACAGATGGCAGCCCGTAATGGTTCAGTCTGGAGAAGCGGGATATGCCCTCCCCATGTAACCACGGGTCACGGTACAAACAAGGCAGCCGTAAGCAGAAACACAACAGCCTGACATTCTGTTCCGGGCCAACAGGGGGCGACCTCGCTTTGTCACCATAATGAGGTGGGAGAGTCGCAGCCAGCACCCACCTGGAAGGCTCCACAGGCCCGACAGCTCCAAGGTCTTCAGCTTCTTCTCAAGCTCTGCCACACGGTTTCCCAGAATTCTGTGCGAGGGCAAGAGAATGCATTCAGAAATCCTAATCGGAATTACAATACTGGCCAAAACAAAGTGCATAGGGTAAGTGGGAAGAGGTGCCTGTCATTTGTTTATTACACTTATCTTTGAACAGTAAATCCTGACCATTAGAGGAAAAGTAGGAAATACAAAAAAAAACAGACAAATGCAAGGCAGCACCCACTTGTTTGTCTTGCGTTGATGTTGGATGACCAAGTTCTGCTCCTGAACAGTCTCTAACAGAGTTGTGGTCAAACACCAGAGGTCTGCTGTGGACTGGGGGGTGGAAGGGAGGCTGCAGCCACTGCTCCCGTACAGAAGGTCTTGCACTGAGGAGAGATTGGGTGGGGTGACTAATCAGTAAGCATGCAGGCTGCCATTTTACCCATAATCCACCACAATAACACAGCTGCGATCCCTGATTGCTGCATTAGGACAGGCTGAGGCTTGCCGCTAGAATCTCAGCTGGATTACTTTAAAAATTCAGGTTAAATCTTAAATATGAGAACTAAAAGATACAAGCTATTTATATAATAAAAAACATAGGTTTCTGGCTTAAAATTGACACCTGCAAAGGCAAAAATCTGGAATAGAGTCCATATCTGAGCTACATGGTGAGTAACGACCGCTCCGCTGGGGGGAGGTGAAGAGGCCCCCAAACCTCAGGCCCTCGTCCAGGTGCAGGCTGCCCCGATCGCAGCCAGGGACAAAGGGAGCCCACTGCAGGGAGCTGTGGGCGTTTATTTACACCTGGATCCCCAGATACGGTTAGCTGCTCCCCTCCGCTGGGCCCTGCCCTCGAGGAGGTGGGCATGCCAGTGGCAGCCTGTTTTGGATTCGGTTTCTGTTCTTTGGCTTCAGTGCTGGGCAGCCATGGTGAGGTCTTGGGGGCTCACCTTCCCTGGCAGAGAAGATCCCTGAATGGGCGCTTCTGTCAGACTTCAGGTCTGTTCTGGTGGTTCTCCTCTGTTCCAGATTCTCCTGCTCAACGGTGATGGAACATGTAAACCAGGAGACTCCCCCCCCCCCCCACACACACACTTTTGTACTCATATCTTTGTGGGGACTCTCCATTCGTTCCTATGGGCATAACCCTAATCCCAACAATAACAACCTTAACCCCTACTCAGCCCTAACCTTACCCATAAGTAACCCAACAAAATACAAGACTATTGGTACTGAGGTTTATGTTGCTGTGACCTAAAAATATCCCCACAAGCTAAACACACACACGTGCGCGCACACACACACACACACACACCTCAAAAACATTGAGCACAGAAACACTGAATTTGAAAACTAAATATCCCAGCATGGAGGTCAGTACTTAACTAGCAGACTGAGACACAGCTCAATAATCAGCATTTCACGCTCCACAGAGATTAAGAAAATGCCGATGGCAGCCTAGAGGAAATACTCTTGCGCGTACACACACACACACACACACACACACACACACACACACACACACACTGGCTCTGGGATCATGTCTTTCCTATACTGCCAGTGTTTTTAAAACACCACAACCAATACGGCAAACCCTTTCCATTCCATTCACATCCCCACAGAAGCCACCAGCTTACCTTGTACTTAATCATATTAGCCCGGAGCAGGCGGACTTCTTCCTGGACCTGCTTGTATCGTTCCTGTAAATATCTGCGACGAAAAAGATGCAGGGCATGCGTTCATGCGTTCCCCTCCCTGGAAGAGTCACCACGATGCCTGGAGTATACACCGTCTTGTCATGGCAGTAAGCCAGTGTGGTTAACAAAGCTCAGCCTGGGGGGGGGTGTTCTGTATTTATATTACCGGAGGAGGTGCAGCTAGAAATTCTCAGGCCTCCTACATTATAGAATTTAACATTTATCTGACGCTTATATCCAAAGCTACTTGTGTTTGCTTTGGAATTTCAACGCACAACCATTACATTGTTAGCGCAGTACTCCACTTGTTGAGCTATAGGCATTTAAGAGCCCCTGTAAAATGCTGCCCCCCCCCCCCACCCCGAATCTGCCAAAATATCTACTGAGTCCTGGACTACTAGTTTGCCAAAATAGGTTTTACTCTTCAATAATGAGGAAGGAATTCTTATCAAAGAATAGACACACTCTAAATGGGCGACGTATCAAATTGTACGGCCATTTGTCTCTGATGATCTCTTTTACTGAAGCTCAGGATAAAGTTAGCATGATATGCCGGTTGATCACAGAGGTCATGATGGGGGAACGTTGTCCGTAATGCGCACGCCACACAGTTCTCCACCTGCCTTTCATGCGTTTCCTCACAGCGCACACGCCACGCGGTTCTCCACCCATTCTCCATGCGTTTCCCCACAGCGCACATGCCACACGGTTCTCCACCTGTTCTCCATGCAGAGGGCATCCAGGTCAACGAGGCGGTCCTCGTGTCCCCCCAGCACGCGGGCCAGCTCACGATTCAGCCGCTCGGCTTTCTCCTGCAGCGCCACCCGCTCCGCCTGCACATCCTGCAGCTCGTCCGTCACCTCTCGTAAGTTCTGCTCCAGCCCCCGGGTCTATGAGCCGAAGGAGAGAACAGGAGTCGGACAACCAGGGATAAGAGTTTTCAGAATGCCTCGCCTACCTCCATCAAGGATCACGGTCGGTGTTGCGGAACATTCCCCAGGTCACACTTCACACACCAAACATTTGCATATTTTATGTGCTTGTAACTGACCCAACCCTGGTCAACACAAGCAACATCTCAGAAGAACGGCCCTTTAGCGGAAAGTCCAAACTCTCGGCCGCTCACAGACTGCAGTCATGTGACACATATAGTCAAGGTAATTCATCAATGCCCAGCACCAGGGGCTCAAAACTCATTAATATGCAGTTCAAACCATTGTTTTCAAATATATCTGGGAGAATTTGCAGATAAAAGGTGCAGTTAGGAGGCAGCAGAGATTCGTAAACACAATAACAGCAGCATCAGACACCCCTGCTATGCCAGAGGAATGCTTTCAGCATCAGGCCTGATTTTTCCTCCCACACATAAATACTTCAAAAACATATACAAATGATTATAACTGTGACTGATCGATACCTCTAAAGCAGTGTTTCAAATCCGGTCCTTAGGGACCCACAGTCGGTCCACGTTTTCGGTCCCTCCGAGCTGTTAGCCAGAGTGTCCACATTTTTGCTCCCTCCCAGCTCCTGGTAGCAAAAACGTGGACCGTCTGTAGCTCCCCAAGGACTGGATTGGGAAACACTGCTCTAACATACATTTTACATACTATAAGGATGGCAGTATCATACCGGAAGACATTTTTTCTTGAGAGAAAAACTGAAGGTCTTTCTTGTATAAAAATGTGTACTGAGTATAAGCGGCATTGCGGCAGCCCTGACCTGTAGCCCGGCCTCCTCCAGCTGCCGGACGAGGTCCTCTCGCTCGTGTGGGGGGAAATACCGCGCCCCCACCTCCTCGTCCCCCAGCCGCTGCCTAGCAATGGTCATCCTCAGGAGCTGTGATTAACGCTGAACGTCAGGACAAAGATAGGCTTCTGCCAACATTTCCTGCAGGGTCATGTGACATAGTCCATCTCTACTTTTGCCTATGATTTACAGGAACTCTGCATGCATGTCTGCATTTTCCATCCATCCACGTTTGGGTAACAGAGGAAGCCTGGACCCTATTGGAGGCAGCGTTATATGCAGATTGTTATTGACCGAAACGATGTTATGCAACACATGACTATGAAATTGGCTCACTGATAAACAAAAGCTAAACGCTTTTCACGCGGCTTTCACTTTTCTGATTTTTTTCATAAAAGCAAAAACCTTATTTGGATTTTTCTCAGTCAGCAAAAAACTGCTGCTATTGTAGGTCTTTTATAAAGGCAAACATTTGTAATGCTGGGGATACCTCTGCTCTTTCAGAAGCAAATCATTGTAGAAAAACACGTCAAGACATTTTGAATGAATTTGTGTGTAGGTTTGGATTATCAGCATGTCTCCCCTTCTAGACCCTCCTCTGAACTTCTATCTTTCTCATCCATACCCATGCAGGGTCACAGGGGTCCAGAGCCTATCCCAGAAGCTATGGGCACAAGGCAGGGAACAACCCATCTCAGGGAACACCCACGGATAGACTATTTGGCCACTCCAATTTTTAGACTGTGGGATGGAAACCGGAGAATCTGGAGGAAACCAGGGAGGACATACAAACTCCACACAGAAAGCCAGGCCAGACCCGAAGCCCCGGCCCCAGAGGTGTGAGGCGTCCACGCTAACCGCTGCGGCACCCCATGCTTCTTATTAGTGTTCTGTAATCTTTTTTAAGGATTGTTTGTGCATGCTTAGTGTTTCACTTACATTTACTTATGTTATATATGTATGTGACAGAGTTTCTACACATACATGGGCACAGATATGCAAACGCACTCACTTTCATATGTGTGCGTGTTTGTGTTTGGAGTCAGATGGATGTCGTACTTTGTTATCTCCCCGCGCTTCCAATAGCCGCTGATTCAGCTCCTCCACCTCCTGAGACAGCTGGTTGTTGCGTTCCCGGGAGCCTCTCAGCAGCTGAGCTAGGTTCACCTGCGGGGGGCGGGGCGGGGGG